AGGGTTTAGGGTTTCGGGTTTAGGGTTTCGGGTTTAGGGTATCGGGTTTAGGGTTTAGGGTTTAGGGTTTCGGGTCTAGGGTTTAGGGTTTAGGGCTCAGGGTTTAGGGTTATGATACGCGAAACAGCTTAAGTCCGGAGATAATGCCCACCCTTCCTTCCGGCCTTTATGTAGATGGCTCCAAAGTATAGGGGTCTAGTGGAAGGATCACGGGACTTGACAAGTAGATGGGTTTAGGGTTTAGGGTATAATAACCCCAGTTCTAATAACTCTAATATCTACAACTCTACTTACCACTTGGGGCTTCATGGGTAGTCATGGGTTAAGTTGTTCGTGGTTACCTTACTTATAACCCCACTTAAAACTACCCATGAACCTCCAAGCACCTCCTTGCCAAGTCCCTGGAGGCCTCAAGCATACCCTGGTGCTCCTGAAACCCAAAAGCCCGAAACCCGAAACCCCTAAACCCTAAACCCCAAAGCCCTGAACCCCTAAACCCTAAACCCTAAACAAGAGCCAACTACCCTGAACGGTATATCCTCAAGCCTGACGCCCCTGCGGAACGTGAGAAAAGCAGCACAAGACAGTAAAGACCCTTGGGCTCATGGCTCCGGACGTTAAGTGCGGAATATCCGTAGAGTCTGCTGTAAAGAGCCCCAAAACCCCTAAACCCCTAAAGCCCTAAACCCTAAACCGTAAACCCTAAACCCTAAACCCCTAAACCCCCCAAAACCCTTAAACCCTAAACCCCTAAACCCCTGAACCCCTAAACCCCTAAAAACCCCTAAAGCCCTAAAGCCCTAAGGCTTCAGGCCCCGGTCTCAGGAATCTCCAAGCAAGGCCTTTCAGGGTCGGAAGAACGCCAATCCAGTAGCCATGCGGAAAGGTATGGTCCTCGGCGCAAAGGACGGCGTACAGCTTCGGGCTGAGGACGGCTTAGGGTTTAAGGTTTAGGGTTTAGGGTTTAGGGTTCAGGGTTTAGGGTTCCGGGTTTAGGGTTTAGGGTTTCGGGTTTAGGGTGTAGGGTTTCGGGTTCAGGGTTTATGAAAGGAAACGACAAAGAGTTCAGGGATGAGGATTCCCCATGGGTCTCAAATTTTGGGTGTGGGGCTTGAGGGGTAGAGCTTGGGAATCAAGAGCACTGTGACGAAGGGATCAGAAAGGCAAAATGGGAAGGAATTGGAATCTGATCACAAAAAAAACGTTGATGTCCGACCCCGAAATTCAATCCTAACCCCTGAACCTTAGACCCGAAACCCCAAACCCTAAACCCTAAACCCTAGACCCTAGACTCTAGACCCCTAAACCCTAAAACCTAAAGCCCTAAACCCTAAAACCGAACCCCTGAGACCCTAAAACCGAACCCCCAACTATGAAGCCGAAGGATCATCTCCAGCGTCTGCGGTGAGCCCGAAGCACACGACTCCGCTGCCTCGCGTGTTGCTGCAGTTGATCCGCACTGAGCAGCGCCTCAGCTTTGGTGCGTGTAGGGAGTCTGGGGCTTCGCACTTAGCTTAGAATTTTCGGGTTATGGTACAGGGTTTAGGATTTAGGGTTTAGGGTTTGGGGTTTAGGGTTTGGGGTTTAGGGTTTAGGGTTTGGGGTTTAGGGTTTAGGGCTTAATAGCTACTTCTGGGCCTAGGGCATCGGATCTCGACGTCACATCCTGAGCCCCACAAGAGACTGAACCCCTAAAACCCTAAACCCCTAAACCCTAAACCCCTAAACCCTAAACCCCTAAAAACTAAACCCCTAAACCCTAAATCCTAAACCCCCAAACCCTAAACCCTGAACCCTAAATCATAGCATATGGCTGAGAGGCGATGGCAGCCCAGATGCGTTCTTCCTCCACAGGGAGCTACGGCCGAGGGGA